ACTCCCATCCGGTCACATGGGCGGCAAGCCACTCCCATCCGGTCACATGGGTGGCAAGCCACTCCCACAAAGGAAGCTACACCCATAGAGTAGATTCGAACAATTTTTGAAACCCACCACTGCATGTTATGCTTCAGTAATAGTGATAATGAAAGGATCAGAAATAGTTTTGAGAAAAAGGTGCAAGATTCCAGATGTATGCAATTGTAGACTACATAAATAAGTAACAATTATATAACTGATGAGAAGCAAAATAGAGAAAGAGGTAAGAACTTGAAAGAACAGCAGCAAAGTATAAAGCAATGTAGGGACATATCGGAAACAAGGATGAAAAGAATGGGGGAGATATAGGTGAATGCTGTTGGTATGTGCTATATTTCCTTTCCTTTTTATTTTCTCATGCCTTTCATTTCTTTAGCTTGCTATTTCGCCCTCCTTTTTTTTACCCCACAAGGAAATGATAGGATAAACATATAAAGTTACATATTTCTGTGTACCTATAAGATTATCCACAGAAGCAGGATAAGGGCAATTTCAAAACAAAACAGTACCAGGCCAAAGGTAAGGAATTCCCAACCAACCATATTTTTGTGTATAACTATTTAATCATAATAAATTGGCACACTGCCCAGTAATTCCTTCAAAGATTAAAAAATGGAGGTGTATAATAATTAAAAACGCAAGACCCCATGAAGAGTTGGCAAGGTCAGAACTTGTTATTCAAACTGCCCAAAAGGCCGGCTACAATTCCAGAGGGGATTGACTGGATAGTGAAGAAAGAGGCACCTGTGTACTGCAGCCTTGCAAATGTAGAAAGCAGACAGAAGCCCTACATTTCTCAAAATAGCAATCCTTGACTTTCTTAATATGATGTATGCTGCCAAATACACCAGAAAGGAAAAGTAACTGCATCCCTGCTGATAATGTTAGCTATCATTCAGAAAAGCAGCTTCAGTGACACCAATTTGGGGGCTAACAGAAATCTCCAGAGGTAATGTATCTCTAACTATTAAGGAGCATTCATCAAGGCAAAATAGTACGCAGAAACTTTCCACATCATTTTTTTTTCAAAACCCAAAATATTTTATTAGAAATAAATAATCGTTTTTGTCTCTTATCACATTAGCAATTTGTAAAGGAGACTGATACAAGGCAGAAAGTAAAATAGAGAGCTATTTTCCAAACAAAATATTCACTTACTTACCCTGTGCTACTTTTATAGGTCTGCCCTGCAATACAGTCTTCAGGGGGGGCTTTAGGGTTAAACCAAAAGTCAGCAAAGCACATGCTGGGCTCTGATTTTGAAAGTGAAAGTTCAAATCCATAATCACTACAGAATAATAATAACAAATAGGTTTTTATTGTACACATAACTCTATGAATTACAGCTGAAACAGTTTGTATCTTTTTGGGATGGTATCTTTTACCAGACATCTTTTGGGTTCCATACAGAGGTGGGTTCCTACCAGTTTGCACTATTTGATAGAACCGGTTCGTCAAATCTACCGAACCGGTTAGAAGAGGTTCCACCAGTGGACCCGGAAAGCAGGCCACACCTACAGAAGAGGTT